AACTTTAAAGCAAAATTTTTAAAAAATTCTTTGAATTCTTTGAAAAATGTTACGCAATTAGTTAAAAAAAAATTTTCGACAAACCTATAAAACGTTCTTTGAGGTTTAGTATGAACATCAGGTTAATTGAATGTTTTGTACATGCACGTGCAATACCGAGAAGTTTTTCATTGGAGTCGGAGTAGCGATTTTGTTCAGCGACTCCGACTCCGCTAATAATGTTGCAACTCCGCTACTCCGACTCCGACTCCACAGCCCTGGGTCAACTCTTCAAGCTCGGATTAAAGAAGTTAATCTTTAAGCTACGTTTGTACCATGCTTGGGACGTTCGTTAAATCTAGTTGGTGAATTTTTTGTATACTATTGTAGAAATAATTCTGAACTTTTTTTTCTGCTTCAAAAAATGTTTAAATTTTTCAGTGCTTCTACATATAGATGAGAAATACTTCAGAACAATTGAATTAAAATAGAAAACGTATCACTTAAAAAACAAATACCAGGTGGTCAGCAAGATTTGATGCATGTATTAGTTTCAAAAAAATTGGAATAAATTTGGAATTAAAAAATTGAACCGTTATTTTATCAAAGATGATAAATCACAAAGGTCAAACAGAAGATTAGAAGCTAATGGAATCAGTAGAAAGATTTAACAAAACAATTGCAGTCAGTTAAGATTGATTTAAAATAGTTGTAAGTTTATGCGAATCGTTAATTTGATATGTATGAAGAAAAAGAAGAAGAAAAAGAAAGAAAAAAAATAAAAAAAAGAAGAAGGAGAAAAAGAAAAAGAAGATGAAGAAGAGCAATTAATAAATTGGGACTCAAAACATATTAAAAATTGGGACTCAAAACATATTAAAAAATACGCACAAGAAAAAGAGAATTAACTGCAAATAAAAAAAGAGAAGTAAAAATAAACTTTAAAATTTGAAACTCTTTAAGGATTAACACATGTCATGCTACTATTGATACGCTGCATTTCAAACTAGAAAGAAGAAAATTGTGTTATAAAAAAGCCAATGAAAAATTTACATTTTTTTGTTTCAAATAATAAAACTATCACCATCAGAAGTTTGAAAAAAAGCAGAAGTACTTTAAAATAAATATAAAAAGGACTTTTTGTCTTCATTTGCTAACGAGTGTATACAATTCAAAAGTTATTTAATGATTTTAACTAAAAACATAAGACATAAAACTATAATAAATATTTGTAAAATGATCAGAATTGATAAACCTTAAGAACTATATAACTATCCTTAATGTTTTATCTACTATAAGTAGATATAGCATATATCATGTCGAATAGGACATATCTATACTGCCCAGTGTACAATTGTTCAGCCGAGAGATAATTTTCAGCATAAAGGCGGGTTTAATTTTATTTGAGGTTGGGATTGGTGATCGTTTTAATAAGTTAGCAAATCTATTTATTGATTCTGCACTTATCATAGATATCAACTTAATTACATTATAAAAACATTTGTCAAACAAAAAGGATATATCTATACTTCTCAACGTACAAATGTTCAGCCGAGGGATTATTTTCAGCATTAGATTTTATTCGAGGTCGAGATTGACTGTTGACCGTTTTAATAGGTTAGCAATTCTAATTATTGGTTCTGCACTTACCATAGATATCAACTTGACATTACAAATACATTTGCAAAACAAAACTCACGTAGAAAACTATAATTTTTTTTTTAATTTTAGTGAGTTTAACTTAATATACATATTTGTACTAAAAATATATATATTTTTTAATAATTACCCAAAATCAATGACCTTCTTTTCTTATTACTTATTACATACTCTGTGTATGAACTATAATAGTTTACCTGAAACTACGATTTTTTTGTAAAATTAGATTTCATTACCTCATAGACATTTCTTTAATTTATTAAAGAAAAAAACTGTAGTTTATTTCTTTAATAAATTATTAAAGAAATAAATTATTTAATGCTATATTATAACCATCAGGTCTTGCCACAAAAAACCGCTGTTTAAGAACTTAGAAAGTTGTTAAGCAGCGGTTTTCTGTGGAAAAAAACCAAGTTAAAAAACGTTGGTCCGTTTTTTAACGTTGGTCCGTTTTTCTCATCAAACTCAGCTTATGATTAATTTAAAAAAATCTAAATCTAAAATCTCAACTAATTAAAGTTTACCAGAACAGCAGCCTTTTTTTAAAAACCGTGATTCAAATCATTGCAATATATTAACGCAGGATGTAATTGATGTACCCACAGTAAACACTTTTAAAAGTATTATATATGTTACGCCATTGGCTGGAGCATTATCAATCGTCGGCAGATGAATCCCTGGGGTTACTTTCTTTCATCAATATTAAAATTTTATGCGTAAGTGTCAATGATTATTTTAATGAATAAATAAAAATCAAAGACCTTTTGTTTTCAACTGAGGTCCCGCTAAACGAGAGATCTTGCTTTACAAGCTTTCGGACACCAGACATTTAGCTCAGATTGTTACTGTAAAACTAATTGCAAAACGACTGAATAACAATACTCTCTGAACACAAGTAGTACAGTAACTTAAGGTTTAAGGAATAAATTTGAAAATTTCTATTTATTGATTATAAACTAAATTTAGAACATACGCTGATAATATACAGTATAAATGTTGTAAGAGTATCTGTCTGGAAGGGAGCTGCTCTTAAAGCATATGAACCACGTCAAGGTCCCTTCCTATTCTCATGTGTACAACTTAGTATGCAGGACAATTGAAGGCGTATGACACCATCAAATAGCAAACTGCTTTTCCTTGCACATTTTTATTCCAGGATTCATACAAAATATGTATTATGTACTGTATTAGATCAAGACTTTTTGGAGTTTTCATTAAATATTACTCCCAAAAACCTTGTATGGTTTGCTCGATTTATTTTAATTTTTGTAACAAAACGAAAGATTAATTTATTGTCTTATTTTATGGAAAAGAGTAAAAATTGCTTTTCACAATTTAATGATAAGTTATTAGCTATAAACCTTTGAGTAAAAATGGAAAAAGTTTTATGAAATAACTAATATTTAAAACTTGTCTAATTATTTAATAAACAATTGTTTATTAAATAGTTATATAAATATAAATGGCACATAGAAACTAAATAGCTTGTTAAAAATTTAAAATGTACGGCTAACTCTTTTAGACTGTGGACATGCACCTCCCGCTCAAACATGACTGTAGGCATGCACATTACCGTTCCATAAATTTGGTGTTAAGACATTCCAGTAGTTGAGCTCTAGGCGTTTGCTATTAACCGGAGAGTATGTGTCTAAGGCCACATGCCATCTCTTTTTGGCTTCTTTTCTAACTGTGTACTATCGTGTCTAGACACTTTTAAAGTACAGCTCTATCAGCTGCAAACAATATTATATACGCAAAAATACATGAACACCATGGTGACCAGCATCAAATCACTGAAGATGTTTGTCATATCGATGCCTGAATTTTTTCAAAACAATGTCGGAAAGGAAGCAAAGAAAGCTGGCACATAGAAACTTGATAGCTTGTTGAAAATTCAAAATGTACGGCTAACTCCCTTAGACTGTGGACATGCGCCTTCCGCAGTTGTACAATACTTTACTTTTGAACAACTTGTACGTTTTTAATGCTGGTTTTAATAATTATAAAATTTATTTTTACTTTAACTAATTATTATTGAGCCTAACTAATTATTTTTATTCGACAGCTAAACATTTTCTAATCTGTTAGCGTTTACATAGCTAGTGTTATGCAAAGTATTTTAAAATATCTTTCGCTACCTCTCTACAAATAAAAAAGATTTGAGACATTGCAAAAAGCATTATTTTTTAAATTAAACTAAATTAAAATAATTTGTTTACGCTAGTAACAATAACTGTCCTAAAACAGACCCCTGAAGAACCTCCAAGTTTTACGCCAAGCAAATTATTTAATTAATTTATAATAATTAATTACGCCAAGCAAATTATTTAATTAATTTATAATAATTAATTACGCCAAGCAAATTATTTGATTAATTTATAATAATTAATTACGCCAAGCAAATTATTTAATTAATTTATAATAATTAATTACGCCAAGCAAATTATTTAATTAATTTATAATAATTAATTACGCCAAGCAAATTATTTAATTAATTTATAATAATTAATTACGCCAAGCAAATTATTTAATTAATTTATAATAATTAATTACACCATCAAGATTGTTGCTCAGGATTATTTTAATTTTTTTTATGATTATTTAAGATTAAAATGGTTTTATGGATTTACCTCAATTATTTTTGCATGGGATTACATCAATCATATTGTGAATTTATATGTATTAGGTATATAATATGTTATATTAGGTATAGAGTAGGTATATAATTTTTTTTTACAGGGTATTTAAAAAAAATAAATAAATGTCTATAAGTAACCAGGTGAAGAATTGTTAGTCCTTGGCCTTGGCCTTGTCATAATGCTAAAAATTGAGGCCTTGGCCTTGGTCTTGGCCTAGAATATTTTGACCTTGGTCTTGATTGTTTTGGCCTTGGCCTTAAAAAAAACAAAATATTTTTTATTGATTTTGTTGAATTCTGCGCATAACCTTAATCTATTTTTACAAAATGTGGTTTTATTACATTTTTGTTAATAATTGGACTTAACGTAAGACAAAAATTAAAGTCTTCGGTCTTGAAAATGTTTGCGTAGGCCTTGGCTTTGAAACTCCTAATATTAACCTTGACCTTAAAACTCTAAGCCTTTCCTTGGCCTAGTAACTTTTGGGCTTGGTCTTGGCCTTGGACTTGTAACGTGTGGTCTTAGCCTTAAGTTTGTTACTTTTGGCCTGGTTAACAACTCTGACCAGGTGCATTAAAAAGTATTTAAGGTTGAGGAATGTTAAAGAGTTTTTATTTTTTAACAATTAAAAGAAAGAAAAAAGAAAGAAATTGCAAAAGAACTTTGAATATTATTTTTGTTTGATTTTTAGTTAAAACTGTTTTTTCATCTTTTTATTATTAGATATCTTACGGTGCTACAAGTACAGAGCTTTCTGATCAATCAAAGTATAAGTTTTTACTTCGAACAGTTCCTGATGATTCACTTCTGTCACTTGCTATGTTAGATTTTATAGAAAAACTAGCTTGGACATCAGTTTTCCTTCTTTATTCAAGTGGATCGTATGGGGAATTTGGCTATGCTTCATTTAAAAAGGCAATTACACAAAAAAATAGCTCGCTTTGTATTGTTGATCGAAAAAAAATTCCTCCTGGTGCTTCAGTATCCGATCTGAAAAAAATTATATCAGAGTTTAATAGATACCCTAAAATTACCGGAATTGTTTGTTATTGTGAGACTCCTGACGCTAAAACCATTGTGAAAGCAATTAATGAAAAAAATCTTACAAATCATTATCGAATAATTGGAAGCAGTATGATTCCGTGGTATCAAGTTAAAACTAACAACACCGTCAGTTTTTCGCTTTACCGTAAAGATAGTTCAATGGAAAATGATTTTTATAAAAACTGGTATTCTAGTCTATCTCCTGATAACTTTACCACCAATGATACCGCTCAACATACCTACGAAAGTATATTTAAAAAATTTTGGAAACACGCATGCATAAAAAATGAACGTCGTACAAACTTAAACTTAAATTGTGACAACACCACAAACAGTTCGTTTAGGTTTTGTTTAAACTCAACAATTGAGGAAACTTGCCGGAAAGACGATGTTTTATCCTACATCTTTGATGCTATTTATGCTTTTGCTCATGCAATACACGACGTTCTTAATAACGTTTATAAGGGAAATACGACGTTATTTTTGAACCAAACTATTGATGAATTAGGGTTTTTTGAGCATTTAAAAAACGTTTCTTTTAACGGCAGCACAGGATTTATAAGTTTTTACAACATTAATGCCCATTATGGGATTTATTACAAAGAAGAACTAATAAAAATTGGACTTTGGAAATCATCAGTAGGATTGAATATTTCTAATGAGTTTGATTTTAAAATAAACAGTACTTGTCAAAACCAATGCCAATTATGTTCTAAAAAAGTGTTCACTTCAGAAAAATGTTGTTGGACATGTGAAAAATGCAAAGAAAACGAATACGTTGAAAATAATGTTTGTAAAATCTGTCCTAATGACCACGGACCCAATGAAAGTTGTAATGGTTGTAAAAAGTTACCTGAAAAAAAAATGGAAAAAGTTTGGCAAATTACAATTGCAACATTATGCATTTCAGGTTTCGTAGCAACATTAACCACTATATTCACATTTTTTAAACATAATTCAACTCCACTTGTAAGAGCATCTGGAAGAGAAATAACGTACTTAATATTAACAGGAATTATGTTAATGTATCTGTTACCTATTTCTTTGTTAAATTCTTACACGAACAGCATGTGTGCAGCATTTAGGTTTGGGGTTGGAGTGTGTCTTTCTGTATGTCACGCATCGCTCTTTATTAAAACCACACGAATTGATAGAATATTTTCAGGACGCCAAGATCTACTTTTTATAACTCCGCATTGGCAAATTGTTTTAACAGTTTTTTTTATTGTACCCCAAATATGCATTTCATGTATCGGGCTATATCAAAACAAATACAAACTAGTGCGAGAAAAAGATAAAATGGTGCTAAAATGCTATTCCGAATCAGTAGATTTTTTTGCCACTGTGGCCTATAACTTGTTGCTAATATTTTTAACAGCTTATAAAGCATTTAAAACTCGCAAAGTTCCTTCAAACTTTAATGAGTCACGTTACATTGGATTTGTTATGTACACTTCGATTGTTGTTTGGTTGACATTTTTACCGTTTTTCTTTAGTTCTTCCACCGAACTTCAAACATTATCAGTTATTTTGGATACAATTATAGTTGCAACAACATTTCTAGTAGGCCTCTATGGTGTTAAGATGTATATACTTTTGCTAAGGCCAAATAAAAACAAAAAAGCGCACTCAGTAACATTTTTTGAATATAAATCAGAATCTTCAAATGGAACAGTTGTTATTGAACCTGACAAACAAAGCATACAATTATCTATTTGTAAAAACCTTGATCGCAGTAGTTAAGAGACAAAAGGGTTGCTTTATGAAAAAATCATACTAAGGGTTTGAGATCTTAGATATATCTAAACGTTATGAAGAAGCGCTGTATGTAAAGATAAAAATAAAATGTTGAGAAAAAGAAAATATGGCAGTAAAATAATGAAATAATGATTGAGCAGCCGTAGCGCAGTGGTTAGCGCGCTTGTCTCAGAAGCTAGAGATCCATAGTTCAACGCCACCTCTGGGCAAGTTATATAACATTGGTAAAGAAAGAGGCGTGAAATTCTTTTCAAATACTCTTTCGCGGTGCTCCGTGATAAGACCTTAAAGACTTCTTAGGGCACTTAAAATAAAATATATATATGTATATATATATATATATATATATATATATATATATATATATATATATATATATATATATATATATATATATATATATATATATATATATATATATATATATATATATATATATATATATATATATATATATATATATATATATATATATATATATAATATATATATATATATATATATATATATATATATATATATATATATATATATATATATATATATATATATATATATATATATATATATATATATATATATAAAGTTCAATACAATTAGGATTTGTACATTTAGCAACTTTTTCGTTTACCGGTAATTTGGTAAATGAAAATTGAAACACCGGTATATTGGTAAAATACCGATAGATACATTAATATCTATAGATTAATACGAACATAACAATGTAATACTATTTTTATTAAATGGCATTTTTTAAAAGGTAACTTCTTAAAAAATTTATATTATCTGATGTCTTGCATTCTAGCCAAGATCTAATTTTAGGGAGCTGGACTAAAAAATTAGTCCAGATACCCAAAAATACTCTTTCAGGTTCAACACTTGTTGAACGAATATTCATTAAATAATAAAAAAACTATTTAATTCTCACGTATATTTTCTTGTCGAAAATACTCAAACTCATTTTTTATAACTTCTCTTAGATTTTTAATGTAACTTTCTTCTAAGATGTCTATCCTTAATTCTTCTTATTTTGTTATTTAATAAGAAGATTGAAGTTTTTCCCTCATAGTAAAATCAGCAATTGCTTTAACAGTATTGAGGTTGTTATTTAAATCTGAACCCGGTTTATCATTTAAATTTCTCTGCATTAATGTACAAGATGCTTTCTACTATGTCAACAATACTTTTAATAATTGTAGTTAAACTGCTGATATTAAAAATACCGTAATTGTCTTTAAAAGAAAGAGTCACATTTGGCTTTGTTATAAAGCGTAAAACCTCTGAAAACATCGTTATTTTCTCTTTAATGCAACTTATTATTTCTTTTTTTAAAACAATGTTTAAAAGAGTGTTTTGGTAACTTAATTCATCTAGCAGAAATATTATTGTTATATCGACTACATATAAATTAATCTTTTCAGTGCAGTTTGTTTCAACGGCCAACTTAACCGGTTGCAAGCTTGATATTATATTTAAAAGTAATTTTACTTTCTATCAAAATTTATGTCCATTTTTAAATCTATCATACTTTTAAAAACAGCATTTTGAATTTTCTAAAAGATCTATAAAATGAAATTAAAAAAAATAATTTCATTTAACTTTAAAAAACGTCAGCAATGGAACAAATATTACTAACTAATTTTGCAACATCTATATTATTTCAAACGTTTTTAATTACAGTCATTAAGTTTACTTAAACGTCATGTTCAAAAAAAAGAATGCTTTACACTAAGATTTATAATGTTAGTGACAAAAAAGTGTATAAAAATAATTTATTTAACTTTGTTCGCACGTTCTTTAATATATAAAAACCAGCTAAGAGGATCGGTGGTAATTAGGATCAGCTAATACGGATCGTGGTAAGTCTATATAAATATATATATAAACTCGTTATATAAAAATATAGTAGATACATAAAAATATTTTCTGGACCTTAAGATCTTCTTTTTATAACCCCGCATTGGCAAATTGTTTTAACTTTTTTTTTATCGTACCCCAAACATGCAACACCAAAACGAATACAGATAAGACAACCATAGTTGTAACCAGATTTAAGATAACCATAGCTAGATTGAGGTTCAGGGAATGAAATTTATTTATTACCATAGTTTGTTGTTGCATATTATTTACCTTAAAGCATTTTAAAAAACAAAACGCTATTACTATTATTAACTAAAAATTTATTATAATTCTTAAAAAATAACAATAAAAATTAAAAAATACAAAAATAATAAATGGAGAACTGAAACCTCAATATGACACAGTTTTTAATGGTGTGTAAACATCTTCAGTTGCTATCATCAGTTGCAATAGCATGTACTGACAGGAAGTCTGCAGGGAATCTAAAATAATGTTACTTTCCCGATGGGCATTTGTTTTTAAAAGTTACGTTCTAAATGTGTTTTAAACGTCTTTTAAACGTCTTTTAAACATTACTGTTTAAAAGACTTTTAAAAGGCATTTAAAATACATTTAGATCGTAACTTTAAAAAACAAATGCCCGTCGGGTTATGAGTTATGTTTGATGTTAATAGGTTTGACATTAATAACTAGTAGACTACTGTGGTATTAAAACTACAATGTTATTATTTGAATTTTTAAATTACAATAAAAATCAACTTACAATTAAATTGGTGAGAAGAAGAACAGTACTAGTCCACTTTTTATTATTTCCACTTTTTTTCCATAATTTTATGTAACTTATGTCAAATTATGTACTGCAAAAATAATACTAGTCTATCTTTCTTTCATTGTTTTTTGTCATAAAGTAGATTGAAACTAATAGAAGAACTATACTTGTCCAGGACTAGTACTGATTTTCTACTCAGTTCTTATTACGCGCCAAATCAAGTTTGGTTGTTGCAGAACATATGACAGTATCCATGCCCTTAAAATTCATTTGTATAGAAAGCATCCAAGTGATCCTTATAAATATGAAAGTATAAATATTTCTCCTGTGGAAAGGAATGATGAGCTAATAGATCAGCAAGGTAGTTATACAGCAGCACATGTTGATAAAGATAACACTAGTAATATTTATTCAAGTGTATTATATGGGGAAAATATAAAAGAAATGATTTTAGATGTTTTAATGACTCTTAGATGTCATAACACAAGTGAAGTTGTAATTCAGTATGTAGGAAAAAGTGTTCAAAATATTTTATCCACAGTAAATTACTGTGGATATAATGAGGTTGAAATGTGGAAAGATGATTTATATATGATGCAAAATGTTAAACGAAGCTCTAACTTGTGAAAATGCAAACTACCATTTGAGTAAGCATTTGTTATCCATTATTAACACACATACATAGATATATAACAATATAAAAACAACTACAGTTCAGAGAAATATAGAGAAAACTAATTAACCGCTTAACTCCTACATTATTGCGTCATAGTAAATTATTTACCATAAAATATAAAATGAGAGTATGTTTAGACAATTTTCCTGACAGAGCACTATCGTTTAAAAATCGATACTTTTCGTTTAACTTAGGCTACAATGCTCAAAGACTTATATTATTTAATGTAAATAATACAAATTTTTGAAACAATGATCCATCCAATTATGTTGAATTTAATGTTAAGCGTTGTTTTATGATAGAGCATCAAGAATTAAAAAAGGAAATTGATAACTTAAAAAAAGAACTTCAGCACGAAATTTAAAAAAAAAAAGATTTATTTGAAAAATTAACTTCTACCACATCAGTTATTACTATGAAATAAATTTGTATATAAACATAATCCAAACAAATCGTGTTATTGCAATTTACTTGTATACAAACATTTATTTTAAAAATGATAGATCTTGCGACTGTTATACTGGCCCTACATCTGTCAATGTGTTTCATTAGTTAGTCCAGTATCACCATTAATCAAAAGAAGATAAAGTGATATTTAAAAAATATCTACTGCTGTTTTTAAAAATTTTTTAAAACCCTTAACTACTTGGACTAAAATATATATTATGCAGCAAAGATGAATTTTTAATGATGCTAATACTTGGATTGCTGACAACTGATCTTGCTGACAGGTTTAATATATCTTAAGGACAAACAAATACAATATTTTCTTCATCGTTGAAAGCATCTAGCTCACTTTTAAAGCACATGGTTTTTGTTCTAAGTAAAGATGTTATAAGACAGGCAATACAAAACAGATTTAAGAGATTAAATTATATAGACTTACACTAAATTGTCCCCCCTTAAAAAAAAAAAAAAATTCCCATTTCTTTTCCAAAACTAGTTATTAACAACACAGAAGTTAGTCGCGAAAGAGTAACAAAATTTCTTGGTGTTCTCATTGACGAAAATATTACCTGAAATAAACATATTGCCTATATTAGCAGTAAAACATCAAAAAGTATTGGCGTTCTATATCAGTCACAGGATTTACTTAATAAGCATCATCTAAAACAAATCTATTTCAGTTTTATACAAAGTTACTTGAATTACGCGAATGTTGGGTGGTGTTGTACATCTAAAAGCAAGCTTGAAACACTCTATCGAAAACAAAAACATGCCTTAAGAATAATAAATTTTAAAAATAAAAACGAACTTGCAAAACCACTGTTCGAAATTATGAATATTTTTACGTTATACGAGATAAACGTTTATATAATTTTATGTCTCATGTACAAAAGTAAATTTCAACAATGCCCCTCAATTTTTGAATAATCTTTATGAAATAAAACCTAACATTAAATATACTTTACGCACAACAGGCTTAATTGAACCATTGTGCAAAACTAAACAAGAACAATTTAAAATTACGTGTCGCATATCTGGAATAAAATCTTAGCAAAATATAGTAATTTACCAGGTGTAAACAATATAAATTGCTTTCAAAAACTAATAAAAAAGAATATTTGAAAGTATACAAATCTTATTAATGATTTCTTTTAAACTGCTTTGTTTTTTTGTTTTTGTCTTTTTACATTGAAAAGTTTTTGGTTTTAACACTTTTTACCTTAGTTAATTAAGTTTTGCTTTTACCACTATCATAGGAATTTAATATTGTAAAAACATAATTATTACAACGGTTCTTGATGATAAGACTTAATGGTCTTCTGCAAGTTTCCCGCGTTTTTATTTATTTTTGTATAACTAACTCTTATTATTTTGTCTTTGATTTTTTATATTTATAACTGGTTTATTTTTTGAAAGACTAAGAGTATCTGGTATTATATTACGGATTTTAATTGTAACAAAAACGGAAAATTAAAAAAAACAAAAAAAACAAAAAATATTCAGGTATAACAGAGTTTATTATGAAAACAACTAAAAGTTTTGACTTACAGAAACTAACAAGGAGTGAATACAAGCATTACAACAATATAAAAACATTAGTACCTATAGCTCAGAATTCATTAATAAGTTCTTTAAATAATTTCTAAAGCTTACAGAAGCTAAATTTCTTATACTCTTGTATAATGTATCATTAAGGGTTTAATATTAACACTTAATGTTCTGAAAGTTACATTAACTACACAGTTCCCTCTGGTTAGAAAGGTGCAGCTCAAATGACTTGATAAATGTCAATGAAAAATAAAGAACTAAAAAAGAAACGGGCAATTCCACGTAATAAAGTTGAAAAAGGCTTCAGTGCTGTGTTTTTATAAAACAATTACTTATAAGTTTGAATTAAAGGATAAACTAAACATTAATGATAATACTTTTTTGTAAAAACGCACTCTAACTAGGTCTATATGAAAAATATATTTATGAAAACAATACGTTACGACCGTCACGAAAAAAAGTCTAAAAGTTTTTTCTATGCTTCGTATCAAACTTTTTAAAACTACAACTATGGTAAAAGTAAAGATAATGATACAAATTTTATCATTGTTTCAGTTCTTTTTTTTAAAGTGATCACCTTTTCAAGACGTTATTAGTCAGGTTATGACCATCACGACATGTTTGTTTTTCCAAAACGGCTTCTTGACCCTACATAAAGTTTAAGCGCGAACGACTTTATTATTTAAACCAAGTAATAAACGATTTTATTATTTAAACTAATTTTAAAATCAATTCCGTTAATTGTCTCGTTTGTAATTTGTTTACTCGTTATATTACAAAGCTCAATAAAGTATTTCTAAATTCTTTTTTTAAGTTATAAGTAATATAATTTAAAAAATTATAATTTCAAACAATTGATGCGAAGAGTTTTTTTTGTCAAGAAATAATAATCGCGGTTGTTGTTTTTTTTATATTTATAACATTTCACGGGATTTTTATATATCAAATTTAAATCAAGACTAAATCTACAACAGATACATCACAATACTTTATCACTAACACAAGCTGTGATATTTAAAAACATTTTAAAAATGCCTAAATCAGCTGAAAGATCGAAAGCTTATAGAGTAAGAAACAGAAATAATTTGTTGGAAAAAGAAAGAAAGAAAGAGAAGTTATGAAAGGCGACAGTTATCAATGGTTAATATATTCACAAGACGTGAATATATTAACCTGGATATACTAGCATAATCTTTTTTTTTTTTTTATGATACTCATATTGTTGGGCAGTGATGTGGAGTCCTAAAAGGACTCTTGCTTTGTATATCTTCATTTTTTTCAGGGCTGTAGTGTCCAGAAGCTCTAAACATATTTGTTGACAGATCTGCCATAAGAAAAAAGTTCATAAGATTTAATGACTTGGAATTTATTGTTTTTACGCCCAGAGTCCTGGAGTCCTTGCCGCTAGTATACCTAAAGACTCTGGGTTTAAAAAATAATTGTTCCTCATACTTAAAAGTATATATATATTTTTTTCTATTATAAGTCCATAAACTTTTTTATGTTTTGAGAGCTTTTGGATACCAAAAACTAGGAAGAAGTTTTTTTGTGACTTTTAAATCTGGAGTCCTTTTTAGGACTCGGCATCCCTGTTGCTGGGTATAATGTTTGTAAAACAACTAAATATACAGCTGTTAAAATAGACAATTTATTTGATTCTCATGTAAAATTATTCTCATTTTCAAATTTATTTTTTTTAAATTATGTATTTGTTTAGTTTAGTTGATAATGTCATTCTAAATAAGCAATATTTGTTCAAACAGGAATAATGTTTTTATTTTCTTTTAATAAAGATTTTTAATAATAATGGAGGATATATATTGTCTCTTACCTCTTTTGGTGGAGTTAACTGATAGTTCAATGGAAGATTTGCAATTTTTGAAGGTTGAAACAGATCTGCCTAATGTGCTACCTCCTCTTAAGAGACGGAAATTAGAAGCAGCTTTAGCATGTTCAAAATCTAATTCTGTTCAATCACAAAGTGAAAGCCTCATTGGTATGTTAATCCAATTTATTTTTAATAAAAGTTATTCCATTTTTTTGTCATTTTTTATTGATGTGACTTAAATATAGTAACAGTTTTAAATATAATTTATGATATACTATAGAAACATCTGTGGTAACTTCTGTTGCATGTACCAAATCAAGTGGTTCAAAAAAGATGGTACTTAATTTTTATTATTTTATTGTAGTTTAACTTCTTTTATATGTTATTGTTGCATAATATATTATTGTGTATATTTAACTTATATACATTTTTTACAATTTTTTTTAATTTTCAAGTTGTATAAATATTTCATGTGAGTTTTTGAATAAAAATTTAATATAGTTACTAAAGGATTCTGGATATTCTAGTTGTAATATACAGCTTTATACTTTTTGAATAGTTGATGAATTAAAAAACTCATCTATTGGTTTCTTCTATTAGGTTGTGTCAATACTGGATGCAATTGAAAATCACCCTTTAAAAAATAATATTATTATTGAGGCACAAAAGACTGTAATAAATGATCGCTTGTATCGTCTCCTTGTTAAAGTAACTTGCTTTTACTTAATTGACTGCTTTGGAAAGTAAGTCTTATAATAATATTCACATGTATATATTATCACAATACATGATTATGTAGATATGTTGTTAAATTAGTTATGTTAACTATATAACTATATTATATATATATATATATATATATATATATATATATATATATATATATATATATATATATATATATATATATATATATATATATGTATATATATATATATATATATATATATATATATATATATATATATATATATATATATATATATATATATATGTATATATATGTATATATATGAAGATCTCAGTGGAAAAACCAGCGTTGTCACATTTTAAAAGTTTTGAGAAAATATTTATTGATCATTAATAAAAGTCTTTATATAAAGCAACAAAAAAAAGGAATTTCTAATAAAAATTATATAAATTTTTTTTATAATTAAACTTTAAATAAATTGAACAAAATATTGGTTTTTTTCTCATCTTTAATTTTCTTTGCCTAATATAAAATCTTTTATTAATGATCAGTAAATCCTTTCTCAAAACTTTTTAAATGTGACAACGCCGGTTTTTCCACTGAGGTCTTCATATATATATATATATATATATATATATATATATATATATATATATATATATATATATATATATATATATATATATATATATATATATATATATATATATATATATATATATATATATATATATATATAATTTTAACTGTAATATTCTTTTCAGCTATCTTCCACCAGAGCATCAATTAGCCTTGGTAAAAAGTATTGTTTTAACTTTTAAGTTCAGGGCATGCCGAAGCGGAAATGGATATGTAAGTTGTTTGTTTTTGTTTTTTTCAAAATTAAGTAGTAGTATACTATTATTATGGACTTTATTATGTGAAACCAATATTTAAGTAAAAACACAATCACTGCACAAAAATTACATGATTTAATTCTAATGTTAATGTCTCAACAAATTATCTTCTTGCATTATTATTAATGCAATTCATTGTGATGATAGTTATAAGATTTGTTTGTTTTTTATTAGTTCATTTATTAGTGCACAAAACCTATTAATATTATATGATTGATTTTGATAAGTTTCTTTATTGCCTTCTAATTACAGATATATATTTTTTTTAAATAGGAATTATACTACTGTCCAGGAACATCAAAGGGTTTTCTGACTAATTCAGAGAAATTTATCGTTGTTATCCAGCAGATATAAAAAAATATAGCTGTCGCAGTAAAAGAGTATGTCAATTTTTTATTGCCTAGTTAATTGAATAATTGTATAGTTATACTTTGAGTATTTTTCTATAACTTTTTAAAAAAATATTTTTTAAACATTTGATAAACTTTTAAAGTATTTATTAACAGAAAATTCATCAAACACAACTGTATTGATACATTTATATATTTTTTTTATTTTATATGTTTATTTTTATGTTCTTTAAACATGCAGAGAATATTCCAGTTTTATTAAAAACAACATTTTCGAAACAAATAGTTGCATACTGCAAGCTGACTGGCAAATGCATAGACATTATTGGCGAAACAGATACTGAAGGAAATAGCAATACGGGTAAATAATCTTTAAAAAATGTCAAACAAAAAAGTTGTATTTATTAAATCATGTCTATATCAATCTAAGTTGTAATATAATTTTAATTTTGTTTAGATGCATTGGTACTAAAATCTTTAAAGGCTCTTTATCTCTTGCCAACAATGGGAAAATATCGTGTTTCAACAAGTGCAGCAATGGTTTTCTTAATTGAAGAACTAAAGGTATGATTTATTTTCAAATTTAATTAGTTTCTTTAATAAATAATATACCAATAGTATGACTATAGTTTTTAAGAAGTATAAAATTCAATTATACTAATAAATCTTCCATCTTCTTTCTCATTATTTTATTTGTGTTAAATTTTTGTTCCATTTGATTTACTTCAAACTTGAAAATTTTTCAAACTTTTTTTTTAGGATGGCGAGGCTCTTGAAAGGTTTTTTGATAACTCAAATCCAAAACAGCAGCCTTTCATTTTGTCATGTGGATTGTCTTTTTTCGTTGTGTGTGATAGAAAAGCAATTATACGCTCTAAGAAAAAATCCGTTATATACAACGAATTGTATCTGTCGCTATTGCACTAACGGGAAATCCGTTAAGTTAACGAATTAAAATTTTAACGAATTGAACTCCGTTAGGAATAGTCCGTTGAATTTACCGTTAGTGCAACGAATAATCCGTTAAAATTAAGGAGTTATTACACTAGGCAGCAAATTCTCCGCCGTTGTTAATCCTATGAAATAAATGTGTTAATAAGTTATTTTAGTGATTATTTTGTTAAAATCACTAAAATCTAAAATTAGAGAGGCCAGAATTGTGACTTCATAACCAAATAATCCTTTTATTTGTTAATGTTTGCATTTTTATTTAATTGCAAAATTTATTTCTACATTAAAACGTTTTAACCAAAAATTGAAAACTAATCAAATATTTATAATATTTAATCCAATATACTTTAAATTACAAAAAGAAAATTGTTAAAAAAAATATTTTTAATACACTATACTCAAGCTAGTACATTTATATAAAACACACACATATATATAATAGATGTTTAAAATAAATCAATGCCAAGATATTAGTTTTTGGTCGCTAGTTTTGGTTTGGTTAGTTTAAATAGGTTTTGGTTTTGAATACTGTTGTTACTCGTACACAGGGTCGCACTTTAAATCGGACACCATGCTGTCAACTCCTTAAAGATTAATATAAAATAAAATAAGGAAAATATGGAAACTTAATAACATACCTAGTATAAAACCAAAATAAAATGTTACTGATAACACTATAGAAAATGTTTTTGGTAATTCATTATATGTACATTTCTATTCTAAATTTTGTTATTTTAATTATCTCTGATATCGTTTTCTAAAGATAAAGTTAAATGGAGCAAGTAAATTATATCTTTATTAAAATGTAAATTAAAAAAAAAAGTATAAGATTACCTTGACATTATCTGATAACTGAAAGACTCTATACATTTCACATACATCAATACCTATCAGGAGCAAAAAATAAGGTCTCTAACTTTTTAAAAACTATGATAAATCAAAACAAGATTAAATATGCAGACAAAAAAAAAACGCAAGCAACTATATAAAAAATTAATTTTACAACTTATTTAAACTTACAGTGTCATACCACTTGTCACATGTTTAAAATAGCTAATTCTAAAATAATAGTAAATATAGAATATAGTAGAATAATAGTTAAAAAAGTGTGATATAAACTTAGTCTTAACTAAACTAAATAAATATGCATGCCAAAAGAAATGCAAGTTAAAATACAATTATTTTAAATTTACTAATTCAAATTTACAGTGGGATATCACAAGCCACGTGTCTATAACAGCAAATTCTAAAATAATATAAACACGCCAGATATAAACTTCTTATTATTATTATTAATAGTTGAAACTCAACTAAATAAATATGCACGCCAATAGAAATGCAAGTTACAATATAAATTTTACAACCAATTTAAACTTACAGTATGACAGCTTATACCAAGTGTCTAAAATAGCAAATTCTGAAATAATATAAACAAGCCATACACAAACTTAGTTGTAATCTAATTATATAAACATGAACGTCAAAAGAAATGCAAGTTAAAATATAACTTTTTTAAATTTACTAATTCAAACTTACAGTGGGATACCACATGCCACGTGTCTAAAACAGTAAATTCTAAAATAATACAAACACATCAAATATAAACTTAGATTAAACTCGACTAAATAAATATGCAAGTTACAATATAAATTCTACAACCAATTTAAACCTACAATGTAACACTAAATGCCGTGCCTCTAAAGCAGCAAATTCTAAGATAGTATAAATAATTCATATATAACCTTAGTTGTAACTCAATTAAATAAACATGAATGTTAAAAGAAAAAAAAGTTCCAATATAAATTTTTTAATTTTACAACTAATTTTAACTTACAGTGGGATAGCAAATCCCATGTGTCTAAAACAAAAAATTCTAAAATAATATAAACACACCAGTATAAACTTAGTTTATAATATTGGATGCCACATGTTTAATTTGGAAATTAATAAAAATTGCAATTTATAAAAGCATATTAACTAGCCATGTAAACTTAGCTGTAACTAACCTTAATAAATATACCTATCAAAGATGTTAACATTTTAAATTTTACAACTGATTTAAACTAATATGGTATGTTACTACAAGTTATATGTCTAAAATATAAAGATAAAAAAGACTATAAATAATCCATTTAGTCTATATTATAGAAATAATTGTTCAACTAACCCTTTACTACTAGTAAAGAATTAGTTGAACTTTTATTTCGATAATATAGACTATATGGATTGCATATATTCTTGCATAATTTTCTAGATTTAGACATGTAGTAACTTACCATATATGATATGTATTAACTTACCATATATGTTATTATATATTATTTAGTAATACTAATGGCTTTTAATTTAAAACAAAATAAACCTTATTGTTAAATTTTCTATATAAAGTTTTATATAGAAAATTTAAAATAATCTAAATAACCTTCGAAATTACAAATAACAGAGCGTAACTTAAATTATATTTATCCATTTGCTTTGTTTACTAAATGTAAAGCTTTATAAAAAATGGCATATTACACTTACTGCAACCAACTTTTATCTACAATGTAAATGTAAATGTAAATGTGAGAAAAACGCATTCAAAACTTTATCATTTTTAAAATAAAAAGCTATAATATACTGAAAAATTTTTTTTGACCGATTAGAAAATATTTAATCCGTTGAATTAACGAAATTTCAAAGAATCCGTAAATAGTTAATTTTACTCCGTTAATTATCTGGTTTTTGGTAACGAATTAATCCGTTAATTTAAAGAAAAAGCGCAATCCGTTACTTTTTTTAACGGACTGTTTTTAGAGTGTAGTTAAACCTCCAAAAGTTTCTGTTGCCTTTGACTGTCTTTTCTAGTCTTTTTTTGTATTTAATCTTGAATATCTAAAGCAACTACAAGTTTTATATAATTTCTTTCAAGAATTAGTTTATAAACTGCCTCGTTCTGTTGCCACCACTAAAGTACGTAAAATATTCGAAGAGATTTCTCATATCTTATATATTCAGCTCGAAACATTTTCGTCAAGAAACGCTAAAGCCTTATGATTCTGAAAAATTTTAGACAGTAGTTTAGGACATTTTAGTAATTTTAGCCTCTTCTTCTTTGAAAAAATTTATGAATGATAAACGTGTTTTATTAGAAAAATTAGAATAAATATAAAAAAAAAATAATAACTTTACGATTAATCGCTTTATTACGATTATGCTTAAATTCTGACACAATGTCTTATGTTGTTTATTTAACACATGGCAATATGTTGAATTAAAATCATCTTGTGTTGTTCATATATGACAAAAGTTTTGTGTTGCGAAACACGCAAGCTTGTGTCGTTTTAACACAATGTTTTTTAGAGTGTTGACGCGTGCTTATAATGTGAGACGCGACAAAAACTTGAACGACAATGCTAATAAAGTGGCGGAAGCGCAGCTCATGGTCCACAAAAGACGTGCTAATAAATTTTATAATAAGATTAGAAATGTAAAAAATCTTTGTAATAGAAATCCAAACGTAGCTGTACTATGTTTTGACTTTATGCAAAACCTCTCTCTTTCGCACATACCTGGTCAAGAGCTATATTACTGTTGTCAGCTTTTGGTAAATACCTTTGAAATTCACAATCTGGGAAGTAATACGGGCCACTGTTATGTTTATCACGAAAGACAGGCCAGAAAAGGCCCAAATTAAGTATACACCTTTCTACAGAACTATACCTTCTCAAAAATTCTGGATTCTGTTCAAAAACTTATTTGATGGCTGCCCTGGGCAAAAAATCGATTTCTAGTAGCTACACAAGCTGGAAAACGTTTTAAGAAAGTTTGTCATTATATTCCTACGCGGGGACAATCATTCCTTCCCTGTGACAGAGACTTTGGTACTATCAAAAAAGAAATATGCGAAAGCATGATCGCATCTACCTTGTGGATGAGTATATTGATTTAATAGTCAGTACGAAAAAAAATTCCAAGCCATTTACGGTTACGACGATCACGCATGAGGAAATTTTAAATTTCAAAGATTAGTGGCCAACTGCTCATAAAAAAGCACCAAAACCCATAAGAGACAATATACGCCATCGCGCATTTTCTGTATAAAATGTTTGTTCATAACAGTGCAATGCCTGGGTATGTGACAATATATGACTTTTTTGATGGACTATGTTCCAGAACTTTTAAACTTGTAAAAAATCGAGTTGAGCAACAACTGCCCACTAAGAAAGTTTATCAGGAATCAGTTGCAATAAATGAAAAAAAGATCAAAGATATTAAAAAGCTGGAAGGGTACATACCCACAAACCCAACTGAGTTTTGAAAAAATATTTATTCATGGAAAACAACGGGCAGGGTGGAGGAATATAACTAACTTTTTTTTTAATGCAATGACTTTTTCCTAATTTGTAAAAATTTGTTTGCGAGGAAGAATAGTACTTGTCCAAGCTTGTCATATGTACTTGTCTAATTTGTCATAATTTTTGAAGTAAGAACAACTTTTTTTCTATGAACTACCACTATATTAACAAATGCTTAGGTAATAGAAGTAAACACCTGCTAAGATAACTGGCATCCAAAGTAAATAGTTTATAAACTATAACTGTTTAAAGCTTAAACATTGATCTCAAAATGAAAATATTGGACTAGTATTGTTTTTCTTTTCACCGGTTCAATTAAAACCGAGTATAAAATATCCTCAATTATAATTACGATTACTCAAACATATATATTAATTTATTATTATTATTATTATTATTATTATTATTATTATTATTATTATTATTATTATTATTATTATTATTATTATTATTATTATTATTATTATTATTATATATATATATATATATATATATATATATATATATATATATATATATATATATATATATATATATATATATAATAAATTACTCTGTTAATCAACTGATAAATGAACATGTAAAAAAAAAATACCACGGAAGCACCAACTGAAGTTTATGTGAAAATTCCTGCAAGTTTCATTCATTCAAGTTTCATTCGTTCCAAATTATGTCATTTATTAAATATGTACTTTTTAAAAAGCTTTTTTTTTAATACTTATTTTATAACATTTTATTAAAAACAAAACAAAACTTCTTGGTCTAAAAAAATGTGCTACAATTATAATATTAACATCTTCTTGTAGTTAATGTACCATTTTCTAACCAGCTCAAACCTTGGCCGTAATTCATTAACAGAAGCTCACGCCAAACACCGCAAAAACTTGTATATTTAAAAAAAAAATTAATATTTAAATAATTTTGGTATACAGATATTATTTTATTTATTTTAACAAACTCTGTACTTTAATAGTTGGAGATAATAAAACTCAGGAAAGGAAAACTTTTATTTATGAAACATGAAATCATAAATATTGAAAACAGACTTGCCAGATTAAGTGTAAACTTACTAAATTTAGATGAACTATTTTATGGGAGATTTTACATAATTTATGTCAAAATTATGTCATAGTTTTAAATTAATATCTGTTAAAATAATGTATTTTCTGATTTTAATCTTCAATTAACACAAACCAACTCTAAAAGCATAGATATTATAAAAAAAGATTATTAAAAAAATTTAAGACTTGAATTAAAAAAGCAGTTATAAAAATGATTACCAAAAAAAAGGATTGCTGAAAGATTTTTTTTTTTCAACTCATACTATAAAAAATATTATATGATTATGAACGCAATAACAACGGTACAATTATTTATGTAATTGACACAAATAAAACAAACTTGATTCCATTTCTATAAAATCAATATTGCTATAATATTCATATCGAATTGTCACCGCCTTACATTTCGTCCTTTAAAATTTTGATTTGTAATATTTTATTTTTATAAAAATATTACAATGCTATTGTTACTTCTTTAGTTGGCTTTTATTATTTTTGTTAAAACATTTTAACCAATTATGATTGTGGTAAAATTACTTCAATCTAAAAAAATAGTATTTTACTTTTATTATTTGATGTTAACAATCTTAAATTGAAATAGATAGTAATTATAGCAAAGTAATAGTAATTTATAAATAACGCTGATATAACATGATTATTTTTTTACAAATGCATTTGAACTCATTGTTTTGATTAAAGTTGGCATCATTAACATTACCTTTAAATCTTATTCACCACGTCTAAAGTTTGATATCTATTTCATAACTTTGTAGATATACCTTTGATATTATACTATTATATGACTATATGGTATAGTATTATACTATATGATATAGTATCATAAATAAATATATATAGGGGAGACCGGGGCTAGTTGGCTCGGTTTTTACTCTATGAGCTCTGTAGCCCTAATACCACACTTTTTTGAAAATATTAAAGTGTAGTCTCAAAGCGTATGAACTTGGGTAACTTATAAAAGTTTCATGGATTTACAAAAAAAAATTCTTGGGGCCTTACGGGGCCCTCAAAAAAAAAAAAAAATTGCGCCAACTTACCCCACCACGGGGTAAGTTGACGCAAACTATAAACGTGATTATTAATGTACTATTAAGTGCAAAATTAATAGAAATTTTTTACCTATTAATTTTGGCAACAATTTAAGCTAATAATTTGATATTATTTTTAGCTTGTGCTAAATATTAGTACGTATAACAGCCAAAACAGCAGCCCTCTTTTTACCTGTTACAAAAAACCTAAAAAAAAAAATTTTATAATTTTTTTGTAAGAATAAGTTTTTTCAATATTGTTAAAAATTAAAAAAATTAAAAAAATTATTTTTATAAAAATAAATATTTTTCTCCATAGTAAATGCTATGAGCCAACTTACCCCGTAAAAATTTTGTCAACTTACCCCGAAGGCTT